TTTATGTCATTGGTCTATTGTTGGGGGTTAGATAAGAGCTTCCCACCTGGAATTACTTCCACCTGGAAGCACCCCCTTTCATTTTTTGGACATTTTTTTTTCTTGGCGTCGAACAAAGTTGAAATACATAAGGAATAAATGGAGAGAGAGTGAATGGAGGGAAGGTGTTGAAAGACCTGAGGGAAGTGGAAAGGAGAAAGTCGGTTCTGAGAGCTGAGGTTTGATCTAATGCCAGCTGCCCATCAATAGCGTAGTTGTTAGGCGCTGCTGGGGCCTCTGGTTTGGGGTTTTGTGAAGTGGGGGCGGGTGGAGAGAAATGACAGCAGTTATGAGGGGCTTTTTTTAATGCAAGAACTTGCTTCCCAAAGTTGACCTTTGGTTATAGTCGTCAGAACTCACTCAGGTTTTCTCTCTTCCATATTTTGTAGTTTTCAAATTTTAGAAAATGTATCATTTATTTCAGATGAGAATATAATCCAAAAAGTTTTGACTCAAATTAGAAGAGATGGAAACCTCTTGGTTGAGATTTTGACAGGTGGTATGTAAAGTTTTAGACTCTGTACTTGCAGATATTTTTTTTTCCTTTGGAGAAAATACTCTTACTGTATTTTAGCCAATTTTTTTAAGGAGATAATAGTCATTAACTGATGGAATTAGTAGGAAAATTTCTATAGTTGTTCCATATATTTCTTACTTAATTTGATAGGCTTTATTCTAGTTTTATTGTAACTGATGGTAAATAAATATCTTTAAACTTGAAGATTATTATATCCATTCACACCTAACCCACACGCCCCCCGGGGGGAGATGCCACCTGGTTGGATCTAGTAGTTAGAGGCATACACACAGATCTCTCTCAGGAACTGGAAATCTCTGGGAATGAAGGCAGTGGACTGCTCCTGGCACGAGAACCTGTAAAAGGTGGAGAAGTGGTTACACGAATTTAAACTTACGTAAAAATTCACTGAGCTGTACACCTGAATCGTGGATGTTTTAGTGCATCTGTAACTGGACTATCAATGGGTCCGGGCTGCCTGTCACCACTGGAGCCAGTTCAGCAGAGACAGGGTTGAATCATATATGAGTGTTTATTCCAATGCTGTCAGCAGCATGGGAGGGCAGCGGGTCATCCACAGAAATCTTCTCTCTACCCCACCATAAGCCACTGCTTATATTGGGTAGAAGGACAGAGATTACATGGGGAAGTAGGCAAAGGGGGTCTTCAAAGGGCTGGCAGCTCTAGTTTCTGCAACAAGGTTGTTAATCTTTCCATGACAATAGACAGCTCCCTGTTGGGGAGGATGAGCTGCATTTCCAGGTGAGCTCCCAGGTCCCATACAACTCCAGCCCGGTTAGAATGTGCCTTCTTTAACCAGGACAAAACCATGGTAAACAGAGCAGAATTGATATTTCTTATAATTATAGCTGGTCCCCAATATTCTAATTCTGCCCCTATCACATCTGTGCTCCTCCTCAATTAACAACAAATTCCCCACTGGGCAGGACGGTGTACAAGGCACCAGAAACGGTGCTGAGCCAGGATGGAAGGCCATGTCTCCTTTTCTGCAGCACACGGTCTAGATTTGGGTGGTTTCCTTTCTTTCCCTCCATTAGGAAAGAATCTGAATTAAATGTCAGTACAGCATCTCCTCAGTAAGAATTTGTGTGCATGAGTAAATAAAAGGGGAAACCAAAAATATTGGTTACGTATGTGCAATTCTGTTCCTGCTGGAGCTCAACCGCAGTCTCTTGCCATTTAATTAAATCAATGGTGTTATTAATGATACTGGTCTATCCAACATAATTATCAGTGAAAGCTGACATTTTCCCAATGCGATCAGGTTGCTTAGAGAAAAGTCTGCATTTCTTTGCTCTTCTGCGGAGGATGGATTATCGCTGGGAGCCACTCCTTTGTCACGTCAGTGACATGAAACAGTGTGAATGGATATGGCCCAGATGTACAATATTCCCTTTGTTTTCAGAGCAGAAAGCCATTAACAGTTATCTCAGCATTCCTGTGTTTATGACACTTGTAAATTGATGCATGGTCTTCCCCAAGCAGGAGGCGGAACAAAAGCCTCTTAATTTTCTTTATGTTTATCCTTCCCCAGTTTCACGGTGTTGGGTGATGTGTGGGCTTCCTCCCTGGCAGCCCTGACTGCGGAACTGGGGAGTCGTTTACCCGGCCTGACAGTCACCAAGAGGAGTTTCATGAGGGGACAGGTCCGCCCCATTGCCATCGCGAGCAGGTCCAGTGCCGGGCATCAGTGCTCGCTTCTGCAGCTCAGGGATTGCTGAGCCCTGTGTGCGGAAGGAAAATGAAATGTAAACCATTCTAAGTGAGAGCGCTGTCCCTGACTGTTATCCTAACATAAACCCACTCCGTCATTCTTAAATCTTCGCTTTGGACGCCATGGTCATAACGTATCCCTTCCTGCGACTGTAATGAAAGTTACTGATCTGTTTCAAGCTTCCTGAGTAGAAAAGTGTTGTTTAAAATTGAGGTGCTCCGAGTTCATCCCAACATTAGAATTCAGTGTGGCCGGAACAGCACTTGATTCTCCGGTGGAGGGGTCAGTGTAGCCCCTTCCGCTCTGCCCCCAGAGCCTCCTGTAGAGATGGCTGGTGGAGGGATGAAGCAAAAAACCCAAAACCTCGTGGACACAGACAACAGTGTGGTGATTCTCAGAGGGAGGGGGGTGGGGGAGGTGGAAGAGAGTCGAGGGTGATCAATGGTGATGGAAGGAGACTTGATGTGGGTGGTGAACACACAGTGCAATACACGGTTGACGTTAGTGTGCCGTGTACATTCCATCCGTTGTTCTGTTATGTCTGACAAACGTGTGACCTCACTTGACCTCACCCTATGCTACGGGCAGCGATGCTTCTGTCCCGTGTGCAGATGAGCCAGAAAGGTGGGTGCCCCCGGGCCACACAGGAAGGCTGTGGATGTCACCTGCTGACTCTGGGCCGTGTTCTTACACACGTCACGCTCCTGTTCACTGGTCAGCAGGCCACAGTGCCTTTGCATGTAGAGGGAGGCCGGGTGTATGGACAGAGGCCAAGCCCGCCCCCGCACCCACTTCTTAGAGCAGAAGATGAATGTAAGTGAGTGGTTCTGTTTGAGGAACATGTGGGCGATCTGAGGCCCCTGAAACGTGGAGGATGCACGTGTGTTAGGGGCTGTTGTTCAGGAGAAACAAGGGCCGATTTTCCGTGTCGTCATGGTGGGGCACTCCTGTGCAGTATGCATTTCGGCCCGTGTTTCTGTTCCGGAAACAAGTGTGTTCTCAATCCCGATCACACTAATCTCTCCAGGGCACCAGAGTCCAGCGAGAAGGGTCCCCTTTGGCCACTAAGACATCTGTTTCCTTTGAGTTCCATGTCAGGATGATCTCTTCCTCCCCAGGATGAGTGGGGAGAGGAGGGCGATGTAAACCACCCTGTCCAATTCATGAAAACTCATTGGTTCTTTTTCTTGACCAGGGGTGATGTCATTGGACCTGACCAATCAGACATCAGCTTGAGGTCACTGGCTCTCAAACATGTTTTAGTGTATTTTCTTGTCTTAGTTCCAACTCCATCCTGAGATTCCATGAATGCTTTCATCGGGTGTGCGGCCTCAGACTCAGATTCTTGGAAGAAAGATGGATGGGAATATAATTGTGTAGCCATCTTTCTGTTTCAAAATGTACTTACTGCCCAGCTGGTGTGGCTCAATGGTTGAGTGTTCACCTATGAACCAGGAGGTCATGGTTCAATTCCCGGTTAGGGCACATGCCTGGGTTGCTGGCTCATTCCCCACTATGGGGTATGTAGGAGGCAGGTGATCAATGATTCTCTCTCATCATTGATGTGTAGTAATTGTTTAGTAACTATGGTTTTTTAAAAATACATTTTTATTGATTTCAGAGAGGAATGGAGAGGGAGAGAGAGATAGAAACATTAATGGTGAGATAGAATCATTGATCGGCTGCCTCCTGCACACCCCACACTGGGCATCGAGCCCGCAACCTGGGCATGTGTGCTGACTGGGAATCGAACTGTGACCTCCTGGTTCATAGGTCGATGCTCAACCACTGAGCCATGCCAGCTGGGCCCTTACAGTCTCATTTTAAGCCAGGAGCTCAATGTTCCTTCCTTTTTGTGGGTGAGACTTTCTTGGATCAAGACCATGTCGTTAGAAAAGTCAGATCATTGCTATTGAGCAATTAGCACCCAAGGCTATTTTACTGTGGCTGTTAGAGGCACCGGGAGATTAATTGAAACAGCCTGCCCTCCCTTACGAGGCCCCTGGTTGTTTCTATGCTCCGTTTCAGGGTAGGATGATGTATTAATCTGGAAATGTGGTTTCCTAATAGCATCATGGTTTTGGAAGCCTTTCCCTTCACAAATAGGACAGCTCATTAAACAGACACATGCGATGGCCTTAAAGAAATTGGCATTGAATATTAATGGCAGAGAATATTAAATAATAGATTGCAGGTGAGAGTGATACATAGCTCTAAACAGTGAACTCGGATCACTGTTCTCGATGGTTTTCGAAGCGAGAAGGACCAGGAAACTTTGAAGGACAAGGCATCACCGTGTTTCCCTCACACTTTTCCCCTTAGAAACAGCTACACGGTTGAGTGTCCCCAACCTTTCCCAGTGGGTAGAACTAGTGTTTGCAGTTTGGCAACGCTCAGCTTTTCATAATGAAAGCAGTTGTTTTTAACACATTTTATTTTGTGGATCAGAATAATTCTTTACGTAAAGACACATTTGAAAATATTTTTTTATTACTAATGTAAGCCCTATCCAGGCCACCAATTGATGTGTCTCTCTCACATCGATGTTTCTCTCTCTCTGTCTCTACCCCTCCCTTCCATTCTCTCTAAAAAATCTATGGAAAAATATCCTCGTGTGAGGATTAACAACAACAAAAAAAGAAAAATATATGTAATTTCTGTGATGTTGACATTTTAGGGTATATGAGCTTCCAGTCTGTGCTATTCTGTATTTTTTTCTGCATTTCCAGGTCGACCCCATTCCCCTCCGTTTTCACCCGAAGGGCAGAGGGGACAGAGTCCCGTCCTCTGCGCGTCCTCCTCCCGGAAGAGCAATGGAGAGGCTGTCCGGCGCCGGCGGAGCCGTCTTCTCTCTACTGTCCCTCCTCTTGCATTTCGCCAGCGCCTCTGAGATCCCGCTCTCAGGTAGGGTGACGGCGTCAGTACCGGCTCTCTGGATCTCATGTGCATTTTGATTTCACATCGGACACGTCTAGATCGAGGAGGCGTTTTGACCATATCTCTGTGTATTTCCCAGCACCCTGTCAGAATCTGCCTGTGTCTTCCTCGGTGTTTGCGTGGCTTGCGCTGCGCTGCCCATGACATTCCTTGCAGCCCAGGCCTTTTGCCTCCCTGCAGACTTGGCCTATGAGAACGTAGGCTAGAGATTAGGAGGTATTTTGCCGTATAAGAAAGTATCAAGTACAACCAACAGCTGCTCCTTTTATATACTCAGGTTAGTTTATTTTAGGGACAAGTATGATTTAGAAATTACTGGTACCCAACCAATCATAACAAAAAAAGGAAATGAATAAACTTTGTATTCTTTTAAAAAATGACTATATATTTAGGAATGAAAAATGAGATAGGAAGGTGTTAAGCAGCCGTTTTTATAGTGCGCAAATACACACGTCCGATCGCACCCACTGCAGATGTAGGCACCTGTCCTGTGAATGTACAGCAAGAGCCCAGTCAGTGGTTTTACGGAAGTTTACATCCCAGCATATGTTGGTCAGATGAATGCAGATCTAAAAAATCATAAATCTGTTTAATTAAGTGAGAATAATTAAAAACTCAAAAAAACAATGTGTCTGTGTAACCAGTCAGTCAGTGGGTCCGACTGCCTGTCACTACTTGAGCCAGTTCAGCAGAGACAAGGTTGAATCATATATGAGTGTTGATTCCAGTCCTGCCGGCAGCGTGGAAGGGCAGGAGGTCATTCACAAAAATCTGCTCTGCCCCCCACCTCACTATAAGCCAGGTGTTAATATTGGGTAGAAGGACAAAGATTACATGGGGAAGTAGGCAAAGGGTAGGCCAAATGGGCAGTTTACAGGGAATGGGGGCTGGGGATCCTCAAAGGTCTAGTGATATGCAAGGGCTGGGGGTCTTCAAAGGGCTGGCAGCTCTGGTTTCTGCAACAGGTTGTTAATCTTTCCATGACAATAGGCAGCTCCCTGATGGGGAGGATGGGCTGCATTTCCAGGTGAGCTCCCAGGTCCCACATGCAGCTGCCAGCCAGGTTAGAATGTGCCTTCTATAATCAAAATAAAACAATCACAGTTAACAGAACAGGATTAATATTGCCTACAGTTCTAGCTGGTCCCCAACATTCTGTTTCTGCCCCTACATCTGCAAATGCAATGTATGTAGAGTATGTTAACTACAGTGTAGAGATTTGGGGACATTCTCTTGTGTGATGAGCTCATGGGACATAATGAGACCCTTGAGAAGTTACTTAGATATTTTGTCCATGAAGTTCAAGGCTTATCCCCCCGGGGTTTCCGCCTGTGACTTTGAGAGTTATTAACAATGTGTGCTGGGGCTCCTGAGACTCTCCGCCTTGGGAAGGGCCTCCAGGCCGTCCGAGTTCTGGAGAATCAGTCTGGGCCTCAGAAAGTCGAATACGCAGGTGCTAGGCCTTCAAAAACCCAGACAGTCAGTCCCACTGTGACCAGAAGAGGCCGTCACTCCGGCCGAGTTAGCTCATGTGCTGGAAACCACTTTCTGAGGCTTCCTTAGGTTACGGGACATCACATGCTGTGGGCAGCCTGCACCTGAAGTCCCCCCCCCACATGAGAGTCGCTTCCCCACTCTGCTGGACAGGTTTCCCTGGCCCCCTGCCTGAGAAACCCCACTGACCCACCCCCTAGACGTACAGATTCGAGGTTCTCTATTCGAGGTGAAATCTGCCGGCTCACACACACCGTACGCCAGCCTCGCTGTAGAAATGCCAGGAAGGGCCTGAAAGAATTCGTCCTCGGGAGGTTCTTTTGCTTTGAGTAGCAGTGCCTCACTCGGAGCGAGGTTCCCCGTGATCCACGAGGGAAAGGGGCTCACTTCACACTTGGCCCAGGCCAGTTCCCGACTCACAGTCTCCCTCCTCTCTGAGAACATCCACTTCCTCTCCATCTTCCCTCCTCGGCTCCATTGGTGGTGAAGGGTGTGAGGTTTTTGTCTCCGCCCGCAATGCTCATTTTCATTCTGGTTGTCTCAGCTACTTACGCGTTTTCATGGCGCACGGTCCTTCGCCAACAATTGTTATAAAATATTAATGACTTGTTTTCAGAGCAAGTGAATATTACCCATTTATTTCAGGACTCTGGAGCAAATGAAACGGAGGCAGGTATTCAAATTGAATGTCAGCACGTCTGGTGTCTGTGTAATTGGCCTAATTATGGAGAAAGAATTTATAATGTAGAATATCTATTCTTATAAACACCCAGAGGTGGTGAGCTCCGTTCCTGGAATAATTAGTTATGCTGAGACTTTACAACCTTAGCAAATTTAGGAGAGAATAATGCTCTCACAAACAAGTTGTTCACAAGCCATTAGCTGATATCTCAGGGACCGTGGCTATTGTGCGCCATCCCTCACCATTTGTAACGGTAGTAAAAGGTGAGTAACACGAATATGCATTCAGCTCAAGACCTGCTTGGCTTAGACAGAGCATTAACCAGAAGCAAGGTAACTGTCCGTGCAGATATGGATGTTATTAAAACATTTACCAGTACCCAGTGGATAAAGCCTGAACCTAGGCTAATGCCCCTAAGGTAGTAAAACACAATTATCAGATTCATTAGGCACAGATACAGAAAATGGAATTTTTTAAAAATATATTTTATTGATTTTTTTACAGAGAGGAAGGGAGAGGGATAGAGAGTTTCGATGAGAGAGAAACATCGATCAGCTGCCTCCCGCACACCCCCCACTGGGTATGTGCCCGCAACCAAGGTACATGCCCTTGACTGGAATCGAACCTGGGACCTTTCAGTCCGCAGGCCAACGCTCTATCCACTGAGCCAAACCAGTCAGAGCCAGAAAATGGAATTTTAAAATTGGAAGTGGCATGGAGTTATTGTCCTCGGCTGAGCGTCCGTCATAGATGACCCTAGTACCTCTCCGGTCCCAGGGGCACATCCGGGCAGTCTGTGATCAGACCTTTCACAGTAACACCACCTGGCACTGTTGCTTTTTGCTTACAAAAGCCTTATGTTACAAAAGCAACGGGGGTAGTTGGTGTCACCCTGGCAGAGATCAAGGTGTTGACAGCCAGCTGGGCCAGCAGACAGGGTGTTCTGCACAAACATCTCCTCTCAGTAAAATAAAACAAAACAAACGTTTTGTTTAAGATTGTCCTTGTGCAGCCCGGCCAGCGTGGCTCAGTGGCCGAGCATTGACCTATGAACCAGGAGGTCACGGTTCAATTCCTGGTCAGGGCACATGCCTGGGCTGTGGGCTGGATCCCCCAGGAGGGGACGCCCAGGAGGCAGCTGGTCAATGATTCTCTCTCATCATTGATGTTTCTATCTCTCCTCTCTCTCCCTTCCTCTCTGAAATCAATAAAAAATAAATTTTAAAAAAGGTTGTCCTTGGTGAAGCACATAAACGTTGTTGCTCTTATTAAGTGTCCTTTCCTGAGCACATTCTTCTTCATAATCAGTGGCTGAACCAGGACATCCACATAAAGTGGTTCTGCCTCTGACCAAAGCCCCAGGTGGTCCCGCTCCTTCACCGAGTCGTGGCGTGAGCACCATTTTTACTCCAAAGAACAAGACAGACCGAGATTACAGGAACGGGTACGTGGCAGATGTTACTCCCAGTGGATCAATGGACCCTGTCACGTCAAGGTGGACAGCTGACAATATGTGTTTCATTGATAAAATTAGCAAACCGATAGTCTCCACTCTGAGCCTGACAGCTCCCCGACAGGGATGGCTTTTCTGGTCCGATCAGTGAGGATATTGACAAAAGTGAATTTGGAATACTGTGTAATGAAATGTATCAGGATTGGCGGATGGCTGTCACTCAGGGAACCAATAATTTTTCCAAACGGTTATTGTGTGATGTTACCAGATCGTGTATGATTAAAAAGAGTCCACGGATCAGGCATTTTACTACAACAGAGTATGAACAGTTTATGGCTACAGTTTCAGACTCTGCATTGCAATGAAGAAGCTGCCACTCTCCCCAGCCGATTTGGCTCAGTGGATAGAGCACCAGCCCATGGACTGAAGGGTCCGGGTTCGATCCCGGTCAAGGGGCATGTACCTTGCCCAGTTACAGGCTCAATCCCGGCCCTGGTGAAGGTGTGTGTAGGAGGCAACCAATCAATGTGTCTCTCTCACATAGATGCTTCTCTGTCCGCCTCTCCCCCTCCCTTCCACTTTCTCTAAAAATCATTGGAAAAATATCCTCGGGTGAGGATTAACAAACAAAAACATTTGTATTAAATGTAAAAAAAGGAAAAAAAAAGAAACTGCCACTTGGTGGGTTTGGGTGCACTCTCTAGGGGGCTATCCACAGT